TTCATGGATAAAAACGCATCTTCGATTTCATCAGAATCTTCCATGGTTTGAGTTGGGGAGAACGATTTCAGTGTTTGATTTGGTATTTGGAGTCTCCTTTGTTTCCCGTCCAGCATCCCAACTATTTCGCACTCTAAGAATTTATGTATGCTTGAAATGTTTTGCCGCATATTGCAGATAGTGCATTTGAATGTTTTCACTTCTTCATTAATGTTTTGTATTGTACTATTGCAAATAGTACACTTCCTCACCTTGCTGCATGAAGCTGACAAAATGAAAAGCTGGTTTTTTTCCTTTTTTATCGTGATGTCTTCATATCCATGGTCGTTTACTGCTTCGATGTTTTCAACTTCCTCGATGCTAGAATTTATGGCCGTGGACACCTTTTTCTTCTCATTCCAGATTCTCAGCGTTAAATTCTTGAATTTGTATGATTTACCAGGTTCAACAAGTGATATCTGTTCCTCCCATATGGTAAGCCCCATGGCCCCACTGTTGTCAGCTATGATAGATTCCCTTTTCTTCAATGATTTTCCTGAACTTGTTATCTGGTTATCAATGTCTCCGACTTCTAGGACTTTCGCTGCAACAGTCACCTGTAGTAGAACAAATGAACAGTTATTATATATTATTATTACTTATTGTGTTTTTTCATCTTCAACAAAATGTTTTTGAAACATACATGCCCTCGGCCCCTTTCACCATGGATAATAACTCTATGTGGCAATTTGTATACCCCACCCTCCAAAAAATTAGTTTGCTGGAGGGGGTAGGGATATTCAAAGAAATTTAACATCAGATTTCAACACAAATGTATTCCACCATATAGCACGCCTCAGCAGAGTTGCAGAGAAAACTTTGAAGCAAAATTTGTAATATTAAATACATTAACACAGATAGCAGGCACATAGATACTTTCGATACAGTAAATCTATACAAGGATAATCTAGTTATATATACTGCTGATGAATGGTACTATGCTAATTGGCACTGAAGAAATTGGTGAGGAAAAAAGTTAACCCTTACTCATGTCCCCCCCCCCCCCCCCCCCCAAAGAATAGGATTTTTTTCTCTCAGGTAAAAAAAAAAAAAAATTCCTCTCACAGTCTGGTTAATTATAACTTTTAAATTTGTTGCGACTTCATTAAACACCCAAGGGTAAACGCTACCCCTCTCCTTCAGAGCAGGGGTGTAATTAGGAGTATCGTTATATGTAGTACCCCCCCCCCCCCAAAAAAAAAAATTGATGTAAACTACTGAATTTCAGTCCCTAAAATATTTGAATTAATACAGCCCTATATACTACTACTATACAAATTTTATAAAACAGAATGTTACCTTGGCATATTCCAAGACATGATCTTTTATGTCTGCAATGCTGGTTACCTCCGACTCCGGTGGGTTCTCAAATCTAAAATCCAATTTCTTGCAGGGAGCAATCCTAGTGTCCTTCAATATTTTGACATCAAATTTTCCTGGTTTGGTGAGACTTATGGCTTTGCCGATTTTTTGTAGCATCACTGGTGTTCTAATAAGACAAAAGTGAAATTGATTGGATTCATTTTCAAGCAGGTTTAGGATATTTTGAAAACAAAATATCATAGGTATTTGACAGTATGCATGGTGCAGATATATGCAATATATGATAATGATGTTACTTAAGTGCAAGTAAAGTACAGTTTATGGGGGGGGGGGGTTAAAGGGGGATAAATGCATGTTCCAATTTCTTACTAGTAATCAATAGCAAATTTATCACTCTTATTAGAGCACTTTCATTTCATATTTCCATAACTTCACATTACTGCAACCAGAAGTGGATGAGGGCAATTACACTTGTTGCTTTTAACCGTTTTTCTAATTGGGCTGGAACTCATTGACACCCCTCTCCCTTATTCCCCGATAAAATTTTCTTGATTCGGGCCCGTCACCATTGCTTACAAATATACAATGGAGCAACCATTACAATATTGCATGTAAGATTAATAAATTATCCAGAATTTTAACAATATCCAATCGTATATAATTACGATTCAGAAACATTTTACGAGAGTGTTCAGCTACCTAACAGGAAGCTACGCCATTTTGTATAAAATTTGGACATCCGGTAATACCACTCGGAACCCCTCGGCCGATTGCCCGTGATCATTTTCCAAATTTGCAAGACTCTAACAGATGCAACACATTCCCCGAAAACAACATTTTGAAACATTTTTCTTAAAAAAACACATTAGATCTTACCTGTTCTTCTCTAGTTCTTTCATTTGCTCTAGCAAATCGCTGCGATAACACACCATGTCCAAAAAAGACTCATTATCCTGGAACTTGGCATTAAAATACTTGTTGTTATTTTTGGAAGTCTTCAATGGGGACACCTCGTGCACATAACCTTGAATGTTTTCGGCAGGCGTTTCATCCGACTTTACAATTAATTTCGCAAGCTTCTTCGGTGTGGCCATCTTTCTCCAAGTCTTGTGAGTGAATGGCGCGAGATGTAGCCTCGTGGTTAAGCGTAATCAACCAAAAGCGATTTTTTTCACTTTGACCAATTAGATTACAAAGAAATATCAGGTGGTTTCATTGTCGCGGGAATTCTTTTTCTGTGTTAGTGTGTCAAATGCCTCCAGTCGACCTTTTAACTTTTCCAGGAAAAGGTCTGGACAATTTCCAAATATGGAAGTCAAGAACGATGCCCGTCATTGCTATAAATACCTGGAAACACTGCTTATGTTTCTGACCAATCATTTAAGAGGCTGTCCACCGAAAAACCAGGCAATGGGTGGCACTTCGCATGTCATGAATTTTAATAATTTTTTGCATGTAGAATTATTAACATGTTTTTACACATGACAACATCAAAATTTTTAAAGCGCTCCTCTATTCCTAGTTTTGGTAAATGCTTAATTTTAAGTGCAAAAAGTTCAACATTAGGGTAAAAAAAATACTACGTTTTTATTTTGTTTTATATGTAACAGGTACTCCAGAGGTGGATGTGCCGATGAATATTATTGATAGAATAGAGTTTTATCTTTAATTTTATGAATGAATAAGACTCCAATTTATACTTCTTTTCGAAAAAATTATCTGGTCCAAATTTGAGTTTAGCAGGTGTTTAAATTCAGTATCCAATTTTAATTACGTTATAAAACCCAATACAATAAAAGGACATATTTGTTTACTTATGTTTTTATGAATACAAAATACAAACTTTTGGGTCATTCAATAAAATCATTGGGAAAAGGTATTTTGAAAGAAATAAAAGGAGTCAAATTTACTTTTTTTTTTTAAAGTTTTCACAGATGAAACCGATCCCGACCGGAATTGTATAAAGAAGAAAATACTAAAATAGTAATGTCAAATTTGGCTCTTTTGCTGTAATATGATTAAGAAATTACTTGATTTATTTTTTAAAAATATTATATAGGTGGCAGGTGCCTTTCGTTTGAAAAATTAATTAATTTTGCATTATTTTCGATCGGGATCGGTTTTATTTCAATCGGGATCGGTTTTTACCGTAAATTTAGAAAAAAAAAATCCTAAATTGGGCTCTTATGGAATGCCATATACGATAGCTAACTGCTTACTGCCAACTGTCAGCTGCCTACTGCCGACTGCCACACATATTTGAATGAATTTTATTTTTATATTGCTATTTATTTAAATTTAAAAAAAAAAAGGCGCGGATCTATAGGACATTTTTTCCAAGACGGTCACTCTGGTAAAAAATTCCAACCCAGAAATTTCTTACAAGAAAAAAATACGTTAAGTCCTTTCCTAAATGTGAGAATTTATTTCGGCCGGGGAGAAGGGGTTCTTATGCGTCATACCTTCATGTGTATGACATTTTTCATACCAACTTAACACGAATCCACATTTTCAGTTCGGGAGGGTGTTTCTAAGGTCCCTTATACAGGCGCGTAGCCAGGCGTACGTTTGTACGCACAAACGTCCACATCATTTTTCAAAAAAAAAAAAGACAGACAGACAGACAGAAAAGAAAAAGAGGGAGAGAGAGAGACAGGCTTTCTCATCATTTTTTGCAAAATATTAGAAAATAATTTTCTTTAAAATAAATAAATACTTTTCCAAGATTTTGCCATGTTTACTATTGAATATTGCAGAGTCTTTTTTTTTCCAAGTGTAATTACATTCTTAAAGAGTTTCTCTGTTGTAGATTTCAGACTATAAAACCCCAGTCGGTTCTCTTGAAACAAACGATATCATAATTTTATTTAATGCCAAAAATTTCAATTTCTATTACTGGAAACTAACTTCCAACCGTAATGTTTAACTTCTGTAACGATATCCCCCCCCCCTTCCAAAAAATAATAATAATATAATATCGGATTCGTGTGAGACTTCAAAAATTATAATTCAGCTTTATATATTAACATCAAAAACTGAAAAATTGGTAAAATTCAGTTCAATCTTTAAAAAATAATATTAAGACCTCTCAAGTATTGACATCCATAACACTACCTTAAAACCATTGGTATATTTTATAATTTTTATAATTGTTGCAAAAAGTTTAAGATACCAGATTTGTGAATATTTATGAACATTATTTCATTTTTAAATGTAAACAATGTACATAGGTAATGTGCAAGAATATGAGTTGAAAAGAATTCTTCTGTCTTTGTTACTTTCAATCTTTAGAGGTGTTATATTAATGTAAGCCTGACTATCAGTAAATTACGCGGTCTGTCTAAACCAGTCATCCACTCTAACCAACTGCCGTATGCTAACCATACGTATTTTGTCGAGCTGCTTCAAAAGTCAAATTGTTTTCGTTGGTTCGTCAAACAAAGCTATTGGACATATCCTTCCTCTATTTTGAGTGACTGTCCGCATTTTCCACAAGGAAAGAACAGACCCCAAAGTGCCTGCGTAATTAACTGAAAAGAGTTTAAGAAAAATTAAATGCTATCAAAAGGTTCAAATATGCATATCAAAATCGTCGGAAATTCACCAGGTTCCGGGGGCTTCGCCCCCTAGACCCCCACCAGGGCTTCGCCCTGGACCTACTGGGGGCCCCCAACCCCCCGCCTATTCAGGCGTCCACATCAAAAGTACCCTGGCTACGCCCCTGCTTATAGTTGATTATTTTATACATGAAATAATTTTTTGTTGGTTAAGTTTGTGCATTAAATAACTTTACAAAGAAAGAGGGCATATAAGGCGTGAACAATCCCCCGCTATGACACAAAATGTTTCTCAATTTTCAAAATTCACCAAAAATTTTTATTTTTCTAAAATCATGCTCTCAGTGATGTCATCTTCAAAAGAAATTATTATTTCATTTTACTGAACAACTTATCATTTGATAATCTTTATTTCAAAGTTAACAGTTAAAGCCATATATGGCGTATGTACAATGAAAATTATTAGACTAAAATTATAAGAAGTTATTATTTGTATGATTACTTTACATAAAGATAGAACTTTTCCGTAAATTACAAAATCTAAGTCAATTGTGTTTTAAAGATATCACAATTTAATTTGGATTCTCGGAATTTTTTCGGACTCGGAAAATACAAAAGATTTAAATAATACTTTACAGAGAAGATAAAATCGTATTATTATATGAAACGAGGTGTTCTCCGTGTTCAGAATTGTATGAAAAGTTTTAATTTCAATGTATTAACTATAATTCTTTACTTAATTTTGTATTTTACAGAAATTTTATTTTTGATCAGGTACGCCATATATGGCTTTAAGCATTTTTCGTGGAAAATGGGTTTAAAAGAGCTAATAAACAATGAATTTTGAACATGAATGGGTCAAGTCTCCATTCTTCATGAATGATGGAAACTCTATAGCTGTTTGAACAGATTAGCAAGTGAATCTGTATTATCTTGAAAAAATAAGAAAAAGATTTTTGTTTACAATGGATTTTTTTCTGTAACAAAAGTGCAGAGATGCAAATGGAAGTGCAAAAGCGAAATTTTTTACTTAATATCTTTCACATCCATGTGATATGAAATAATGACATACTATTATTCACTATCAAAATTGAGGTTAAATCAAGGCTCCGATTGGCGGGCGCCTTATAGTGATTAATCCACCCGTCTAGCTGTCCGTCCGTCCGTCCAAGACCGAGATCTCTTGTCCGGAGCATATCTTCTCTTTCCTTGGCCCAATCTGGCTTATGCTTGACCAACAGAGTGCCCTTGGGTAAACAATGTGCAGTGACGTTGAACTATCTTTCTAAGTCAAAGGTCAAGGTCATAGCAGAGTTATCTGAAAAATCCTTGTCCGGAGCATATCTCCGATCTCCTTGGCTCAATTTGGCTCCTACTTCACTCATATAGTCCCACTGCCTGGTAAATGGATGTGCAGTGACCTTGGTCGAAGTTTCTGGGTCATGTTCAGAATTAGCCTCTCTGTTTAAAATGTTTGTTTGGTATTTAATTTTTCTTCTTTATTCCTGTAAATTTGCAATATCGTACTAAATTACTTTTACTGTAGTACACAAATTTTCCTCTTCAAAATAAACCCTTTTAAACTACCTTACATTTTCATGTTAATTGTTGAAAGCGGGGTCCTTTGAGATGTCCACCATCTCAATGATATCTAGTGATTGAATGTTTGTATTTTGAGCAATTGGTTAATATTGCACAATTTTAAGTGCAGTGCTCTTAGGTTACCATTCGTAACGTTTGTATTTGCTGGGTTTTTTTACTGAACTGATAGTGCATATCATCAACTGAAAAGAATGACAATTGTGTAACGTTCCAAACATTTTGATATAAGGGAGAAAATATCATTATACCTTGAATATATGTATACATGTAGTTCCAGAGATTTGGTGTTGTATTTAGAGAGGCGGTGTTCGGGAGGGGGGGAGGGGCTAAGATATCCGATAAAAAAAAGACGGCTGTGGGTGTTTGGTATCAAGAAACTGGTTTGGACGAAATTGAATTCATTCCCATTTTTGTTGGTTTGCAAGAAATATTAAATTGTGAACCTAACTTTTCATTAAAATTGTTGCTGAGACATAGAACATGTATATAAAATGTATATTGCCACTTTATTGCTAAAATTATTGTACAGAGCAAATATGTACGCCATTATTTTTGCTACCCTTATACGAGTTATACACCAACGAGTGAAACCACACGTTGGTGTAACCGGTCATGTGACATCAACCAAGAGTTAATGCTCGGATACGAATCGAAGTCGCACTATGTGTTTACAGCGAGTATTTCAAGCTTGATACTATACCAAAACACTTTTTGAAGTTTTACGTTTATTTCTTAATGGATTTGATGGAGCTATGACTGTCATATTTGACCCCATAAATTGTGTTCTTTGTGACAAGACTTTTCTTTGGTTACTACCAAATTTGACCTTTTGACCTTGGAGTTTGACACAAACTTTTTCACACAAATACTACGACTTTCATACTTAACATAATAACAATAAGTATTTTTAAAAGACTTCCCATTGGATGTCCAAA